TAAAGGTTTGACCACTTGAAAGTCAAACCGTAGGTGCGCATGAAATTGGCGGTCTTTGAAAGAGTTGAGAAGCCTACATGTCAAGTATTGACTAATAGAAAGTCAAACCGTAGGTTTAGAGGAGGGATTTTTTAGAAGATCAGCGAGGGATTCTGAATTTTTGTCATTTCCCTCGCTGATCCCTCACTGATTTGCGAGGGATCAGCGAGGGATTTTTTAGAAGAAATTTCCCTCGCAAATTAGCGAGGGATCAGCGAGGGAAAGTTTTTTTTGGTATTTCCCTCGCTGATCCCTCGCAGATCAGCGGGGGATCAGCGAGGGAATGAGCAAAAAACTAAATCCCTCGCTGATCTGCGAGGGAAATATTCCGTCGTTGATCCCTCGCTGATCTGCGAGGGATCAGCGAGGGAATGAGTTTTTTGGCAATTCCCTCGCTGATCCCTCGCAGATCAGCGAGGGATTAGCGAGGGATTTAGTTTTTTGGGATTTCCCTCGCTGATCCCTCGCTGATCTGCGAGGGATATTTTCCCTCGCTGATGTTCGTCGCTGATACCTGTTTTTCTAGTAGTGAACACAATGGTATCACAATGCATCCTATATATGTTTGGGTATCACATTGTGTCTTTTGTTTAACAGGGTCAATATTTTTAGGTATCACAGTGGTATCACCGGAGTACGGTGGCCGGAGGACGGATGACGGAGGACGGGGGACGGGGAGAAAAGAGAGGAGAGATATGATAGATGAGAGAAAATACCTAAAATATCCTTACATTAAAATTTTAATTCAAAATTTCCTAATTTATCTATTGGTTTGTCGTTGAGATTAGATATCACGGTTACCACAAACTAGTCAGTTCTCTCTTGAATGAGCCCCATATATATATATATATATATATATATATATATATATGTACTAGAAGAGTACTCTCGCAATGCAGCGAAATAAATCTCCATTTTAATGTTTAGTTTTAATTCTTTATCTCTATCAATATAATATGATTTTATGTGTTTTTGAGAAAACGATAATGTTTTTATTTTTGAATGAAATATAAATTTGAAGATAGCATAAAAAAGTTTAAAAAATAAAATCAATATTAGTATCAAATTAACTATTTAATAGTTCTCGTTTTTTTGGTATAACTTCTTTAATTCGATTTTTTATTATAATTTAATTTATGTCTAATAACAAAGTAATTTATTTTAGGTTTAATAATATAATTTTTATTAAAGATAATAATTAAAAATTCCGTTGGAAGCTCAATGATTATCTTAATTATATTTTAGATTTTCTATATTTAAAATAAATGTTTATCCTATATTTGATTATGTTTATCCGCAACTAGTTACACGAATTCAAACATAGAGCTTTAATAAGTTGTACTTACGCACAATTTACTTGTAATCTTGAATTTTAAGTAATATGCATCAATAAATAGTATTTCATGTATAAAAAATGGTTTTTAAGAGTTTTTATCAAATGCTTTATAATATAATATAGATATATGTATGTATGTGTATATATTATCTTATATTTTGACAAAGTTTTTTGCAATCCTTTTCTTTTCCTATTATATCAACCAAACATTTTGATTTTATGGGTCTTCGTTGTTGGTCGATTTGTCAAAGTTTTTTTTATAGTCGTTATTTTTAAATACACGATATTTATATATAATTAATAAATAAATTCATATATTCTATTTATTTTTAATAAGATTTAAAACGATATCACTAAACCAAATACCTTCTGGTTCATAATAATCTTCTCTCCAAAAACTAAAACTAATTATATTTTATCTTCAAAAAGTTTATTTTTATAATAAAAATTTACAATTTTATTTTATTTTTTTCATTCGTTGTAAAAATTCACATCTGATTTTCTAATTCCGTACATCAATAATGTTATTTATTTTATTGATAATGTGATAAACTTTTATTCTAATAATACGAAAAATACCCCATAAATTCTAATTTATTTTATTTAATGACAAATAATATTAACTTTTTATTTTTTATTACGATAAAAATTTATATTTTATTGTACCCTGAATTGAAAAGAAAAAAAAAAGGCTGGAGCTTATAATTGGTCCAAATCATTTCATTTGGAATGGATAGAAATAATTCGTATTAGATTGAGCTACCAACATTTTTAAATTTTTTTATTAATATTAATAAAATAATGGAGTAAATTACACTTTTGGTCCATGCTGTTGTTACTTCCTATCAACTCTAGTCCTTCTTTTATTACAATTTTGATCCTCGTGATTGTTATTTTGCTTCAATTTGGTCCATGTGTTTAACGGTTGTTAACAAAGACAGTTAACTTAATGACATTTTGCTATTTTTTGTAATTTATTTTAATTTTCTATTAACAACCTAAACAAAAATATTCTATTTTACATGATTATATTACGTATACCCACCTTACCCTTTCCTTCCCCTATGGTAGACCTCGGTGGCTACCATAGGTTCATCGGTCTCGTCACTTATTCATCCCCTTCTCCAGTCCTTCTTAACTCCAACCTTCTCCCTAGATTTGGGTTTTTTAGTAGTCAAACATCATTTTTTTTACTTCCCTTTATCCTTACACAAGGTCCTCTTATTATTATCTCATAGTTATGTCCTCGACTACAACCTATATTCCTACTAATGTGATCCCCATTACTGCATACCATTCCCATTCTCATTCCTATTTCTTCTTGCACCCATGTCTTTTTTACGCCCATTCTCCTTGTACGCACACCATTTTCGGCACCCTCTTCCTTTTTCACACACAAATAACTTCCTTTCATGTTGTACACACACACATACACCCCATATTAAAGCAAACCTCAAATAACTCCATAAATTGAATAATCAAAAAGAAAAAGAATGAACCCAAGTTCTTTGTATGTTCTATTGTGGTCTTCATTTCCAACTAAATACAACAAAAGGAGATCTACAATGGTGGTTCTACATCAAGGTTCTACATGAGAAAGACGTGGCGTGGTGGGCATGCCTCAAGTCTTATGAGTTATGGCGATGCCATGATGTTTTCCAAGGTGTGTCCCAAAGGTGGCATATGCATACGTATATGTATGTAGTGTATATATAATCACTTAGGCATGGCAACGGGGAGGGGATGGGGCGGGTTTTGTAATCCCCGGCTCCGGTTTGTAGAACTTCCCCTGGCCTGAAAAAATACGTCTATTCCTCCCTAATTTCATTTCATCTTCCTCTAACAGACCCTCTACATTACATGAAATGGAATCGATTCTCACTCTATGGAATGAAGCTTAATTCGTTGGAAGAAACTCACTGGAATGAAGCTCGATCTGCTCCTTACTCTCCCCATCTCTCGCTTATGTGTCAGATTCAACGTTTCCCTTCCAGTGCCTCTTGTGCTATCGTCGGTCTTCCAGTGACTACCATCGCCAATGTCATCTTTTGATTTTCGTCGCGTCATCTTCCTCGTTGCCATCATCGGTCTTCTTTTTATATTCAAGCTTTCTCGTGCCTCCTCAATGATTTTGAATGAATTTGGTGAAGATTCGCTTTTGGATGTTCCTCCTTACTCATTCAAAATCCAGATTGTCTCCTTCATTTGGGTGTTCTTTTATTTAGGGTTCATAGATTTAATTCTTTTGATTTGATTTGTCTCTTTCATTTGGGTGTTCTTTTATTTAGGGTTCATAGATCTAATTTGTCTCCTTCATTTGGGTGTTCTTTTATTTAGGGTTCATATATTTGATGCTTTTGATTTTTGGCATTAGGTCTGGAAAAAAAGTAAGAAAACCCAGATTGTCTCCTTCGCTGGGTCTATGGAAAAAACCCAAGCCAGGTAGATTGGATGGACATTAAGGGGTAAAATAGTCGTTTTTGTCATTTAGACTGATTATTCAAGACAACAACCGAACAACAACTTATATGTTATCATTCAGACAACTTTATCCATACAAGTCTTAATGAAAAACAAACCGAACATCCCCTAATTCCATTTCTCACTGGAACCCAATCCACCTTTCTAATATATATATATATATATACACACACACACATACAATATTAAATATAACAATAACATTCTGTTTAATTTAAAAAAAAAGTAAATATTCGGCAAGAATACCAAAACGCTTATGAGTTAGCCGACCTTATTAACGACCGTTAGTCACAAAATACCAACCATGTTGATACAATATATACGTTAGTTTAAATTATGGACTAGACTTGATAGTAGTGAAAACACAAGGGTAAAAAGTGTAGTTTACTTTAAAATAATAAGATTAAAAACATTATTTTATTTTTCTAGAATAAAAAAATTTATTGTGGCAATAAATGTGTCATCACCAATCAATGATCCAAAAAGTTTGACCATGGAAGCAAGTCAAATTAAATCACTTCTCCACTTAAATACTCCTAAACTACGAAACGTATCGATGCTCACCATATTTAAATTCAAAAGCTTTGCAAATTTCCAAATAATTCGCTCAGATTCCATTGACAGTTGTGTTGATTAAGGAAAGGAATCGAATTGAAGAAGAAGAGCAGCAGAAGCACAAACGTACGGTTTGGTTTATTCTTCTCTGTTCTTCATTTCACGTTTCCTTGTTCTTTTTCCTGATTAACAACCTTTTTTTCTGCATGATCAATCGATTAATCGTTCGCGTTTATTGGTGAGTTTAAGCTCAATATCAATCAAATTAATGTTTCTTATTTGTTTTGGTTTCTACAGTTCCAAGTTCTCTTGTATTTCTGATAGTTTACTCTACGGAATCGAATGCGGTTTTGTTTTAATTGTTCGTATTATTGTTATTTGAGTGTTTGTTTTCTGTGTTGGAATTAGAAGACGCAGGTTTGAGAATAATGTTTTGATCGTGAATAGTTTTGTGATTTTGGATGAGATTGAGAAGTATTATTCTGTAACTGCATATGTCGATTTTCAGTATTAAAAGTTAGTAAGATCAATATAGTTTGAATGATGAAATCCTCCTTTCATCTGAAAAGAAACTCCATTTTTGATCTTAAACATTCCAATATTGTGGTTTCCCAATTCAAATTTGCATAACATTTGCAGTTCCCAGTTAACTGATTTTCATCAGGGTTGTATTAATTTTCTTGTTATGATTTAGGTTTGGATGAAACTTGTAATCCTTTGATCACATTAGTTGGGGACATGAGGGATCAAATCCACCATATTTAGAAGCATAATGTGTTCTTAGGTGTAAAACTTGCACTTTTTAAGTTTTAACTGAATTGCAAATCTTGATTACAACTCTATTGATTTGTGGGCCAAGATAAAGCTGGGAAAAGAAAGCACATGAGGTTTCTATTTTGCAGGTTCAATGAAGTTCTCGTAGATCCTAAGTTGACTGCATTTAGGGTTCTAATTTCTATAGCAATTATGAATGAAGTCAAACGTTATACATTTTGTGCACTTTCGTTTTTGAATTCTCTTGTTATTTATCTGTTCACATATCATGATAGCAGGTTGGTTTCGATTCTTTGAAGACTTTGATGGCAGACAAGCAATTAAACTTTAATCGGCCACTTCTTTCTGTTCGACGTTTCTCATCACCAGTTGCATCAGAGAAGGATTCCAGAAGGAAAAACGAAAGTTCCCTCCCTGAAAAACCTCCAATTCCATCTTATAAACCCGAATCACATTCAGGCTCACTGAGAAACCCCGGAAGTGTCCCTTTTGTATGGGAACACAGTCCAGGAAGACCGAAAGATGAAGCAAAAACACAAAAAAATCCCAAGGAAAGGCCTCCTGTTGTTCCAAAGCTGCCTCCAGGTAGAATTTTGAAACATAAAAAACAAGATTTAGATAAAAAGACCGAAGATTCCAATGCGAAAAAGGGTCCCAGAAAGAACTCTTTAGGTTCACAGAGTGAAGAAAAGTTAACTAAATTTGAGAGTCCAAAAGGGACAAAGAAAGTGAGGTCTGATGCAAGGCCTGATGATGAGGATGGTAACAGTGAAATATATATGGAATCAGATGTTAAACAATCTGGGATTCATTTTTTGCCATCTGCAAAGGCAATGAGTTCAGAAATGACTACAGAGAAGCCATTAGAAGTGAAGAAGGTAGTAAATAGGGAGAATGAGAAACCACAACTTAGCTATGGTCCTAATTTTTTACAGTTCACTGCTGATGATAGTGAAGAAGATAGCGATTTTGATTATGATGATCACGAAAATATGTCATATAAGGTTTGTGGATTGCTTCCACATTTTTGCTTAAAGGGTTCTATAGGTCTTCTAAATCCAGTTCCAGGATTGAGTGTGAGGACCAGATTGCCAATATCTTCTGCTAATAAAAATCGTGATCGCTCCTCTTCTGTTAGCTCTCAGGTAAATATCTATTTACAGGGTTTTGTTAAATTTTTGCAGTTATTTTTAGTTGACTATGATTCATTTTGACTTCAAATCCTTACATGTTATTAGCCTGCTAGAGTGGCTGTATATGAGCACAAATCATCAGTCAATCACCAAGAAGATCAGATGGTTTTGAAGAATGAGTCCGCTGAAGCTACCAACCAGAAAAAGTTCCAAAAGCTAGAAGGATCAGGATTATATGATCGCTTACAGGATCGTGGGGTTTCATATAATCTCACCGCATCATCCCCACTTCCCGTTTCTGAAAGAGAGGACGGAAACTTCCAGAAGAAAGGGCTAGTTAGCTTCAAGGAATTACTACTAGCTGAAAAGAATGAAAAGGAATCAGACTGTCAACAACCTGCAATGGAGAAGACTCTTTACGTTGATACCATACATAAGGTGGAAACTGCCAAATCCAGTTCACATTCATCAAGTCCAAAGGGGAAATCCAACTTCGATGAAACTGATGTGGGTACTTTTGAAATTTCTGATATTCCCACCAAGTCATTGCAGTTAGATTTGGTTGCTGATAAACCGAAACAGGATAAAGAAATGAAAACACAAATGGGCTTCTGCAAAGATCTGAAAGTTTCTAGACAAAGCGGATTGGAGTTGCCTGCTACTCCACCTTTACCAAAATCTCCATCAGATTCTTGGCTTTGGCGTACGTTGCCTTCTGTGTCATCAAAAACTGCATCTTTACGGTCAAATCCTAAATACTCATCTCCCAAAATAGCAGCAAGATTGGATAAAAACGTTCAATTGCGACATCCTCAGGTAAACTGATCAACTTATTTAACTTCAAGTAAATTGTTCAATGAGCAATGAACTAAAATGCACATATTTTCTACATTTTTTCAGGGACTATTGCTTCCTATACCAGAAACTTTGTAAGTTTCTCGGTTTTGCATATTCAGAAAACCACTTGGGTGATGAGCATTGCAACTATTACTAAGATTATACCTTTGTGATTAAAGGTTATTGGTCATGTTCCAAAACACATGAAGCCAAGAAGCATTGGTGCACTTGCCCAACTGGTTTAGAGGGGTTATGAATGCATGCTCTTCTTATTGGTTATGATTCTTTTTGGTGCCCATACCACACTTTAGCCTTGTAATTAAAAGTGAATAATAAAGAAAAGTTCATTGTAGGTTTATATGAAATAAAAAAGAAAAAGTTCTCTTTTTATATGGTGCATTAACTGGTTACTTGGGGGTAGAGGTCAAATCTATGTACATACCATCTCCCTAGACCTATCTCCGGGTGAGACATAATGGGTTCGTTTGGTTTGTTTTCTGCTCACAATTTTGCACAAATTGAGGGTTTTTATGGAAACAACCACTCTATCCTTTAGAACAATTACATGTATGTGTACATCTCACTTCTCCGACCCTACTTTCACATAAGATATATTGAGATATGAAAAGGGTTTTGAAAAAGAAAGTGGCATAAACTGGTCTGTAAAGATGTCTGTATATATATGTCCATATGATGTGTTGATGATTGGAAAGCATGTGGGCACCCTTAACACGAGAGGGGAAAACTTTACACAATTCTTCACCACATCTCAGTTGGAGGAATTCAGCTTTATGTTATGCTTTGTTTCCTTTATCTTGTTTTAGTTGAATAAAGCTTTTGTATAATGGTCCCTATTTAATATACTACAACTCCTAAGTGTAAAGTACATATTGTTCAAGTATAATAAATGTGAAAGTAGACAAGCTTCTAATTAAGGGCTGTTTGGCAGTTGCTGAATGGTTTAGTACAAAATGATTAAGAGGCTCTCATGATATAGTGCAAAATGAAATATAATTGTTTACAATGAAATTAGGGCGCTGAATGGTTAAGAGAGACCCATGATACAAAATAATTCAGAGGGTTTTAGAACCATTAAGAGGCAGACTGTTTTTTTTTTGTCAAACAAGATTTACCTCTTAACGATTCAAAGGCTGCTTCTTAATGGAACTATTAAGAGGTAAATAAAAGTGCCACTGCCTACTGTTAACTTGTGTTGTAATATATCTGGTCAATGGCACTTTCGAGAGGTAGCATGGGACCTCGTATTCTTCTACATAGGTTTGCCCGTGTTGACCGGTCCCTAACTGGTTTGGTCGTGGCTTTAAGTCCTTCTTGACCATCTCACAGTGAAAGGATCGAAGCTTTTCATTTTCGTTTAACATGTAAAGCTTGGTTTGTACGGTTTAACCACTTATGTGTATTAAAAGTTCATTTCACTGATTCATCTATCTTCTATGAGTATCTTAAATCTTCCTGAGCTATTTTATTATGTCAACTTCGGTAGATGATTATTCGCTAAAGTAATTATGTCGATTAAATAATTTTTTTCCATTCTTCAACTCGAACGAGTAATAGCTTTCTGACTTCATATGTAAAAAACAAACAATCTTACTGATCCAGATTTCAGACTTCGGGACAACCTCTTATAAATTAGAAGTAAAATCAGACTTCAGCACCTCTTAAAAGACAAACGATACCAAAAGGTGAAATAATTTTAGTTTTCAGTTTTTTATATGACAAATAAATTTCCTTAACTAAAAGATATGTAATAATTGAATGTTAAATAAACTAGCGGTGTATCTGTATATTACTCCATTTTATTTAAAAATACTGATAATTAATGCTCGTTGTACTAATTAAGGGTGTTCAAAAACCTGACCAACGCGATCAATCCAACGAAATAACTTCACCTGAAGCAATCCGATGTCTAATCAAGTTGTAAATTTTTCAAACCCTTAAGTATTAAGTTGAAATTGCATTACTATAATTTGAACACAACCCAACCCGATGAACCCGATATCTTCGTATTTCTTGGATTTAATATGATTAATGAGTTTTTATTAACATATACATTAGACAATTACACTATCACGTACCCTCTTCATATACACATATTTTCAATCTATTCTCCATCTCTATATAACTCATTCGTATATATGTTTAGTAACTGTGAACATATATATGTAAATTGCGAAAATTAATTGAATGTGATATACGTAAGATTTAAGAAGTATGAATAAGTTGTATCAACTGGTTGATGATGAAAAATAAATTATGAGTAGAAAAATAATATATTCAAGGTTAGAAGAATATTTTAATGTACCAAAGTATCAACCCGACCAACCTGTACGTTTTGGGTTGGGTTAAGATTTTCAAACTGTAAGCATTGAGTTGGGTTGTTCAAATGTCTTCAACCCGATCAACCCAACCCATGAACACCTCTAATACTAATATCATGGCGCAAATAACACGTCTTGCGTCTCGGAGGCAACTATTTTACTGGGATATTTTCAAAAACAACCTTTTGACCCTTAAAAAAGATGAAATATTTACGTTTTCAAACCCTACTTCTGTGTAGAATATAATGAGTTTTTTTTTTAAATATCCAAAAAGACATTAAACTAAAGTTAAAACATATTTGATTATAATACTCAACTACAAAAAAAGTAACACAAAGAAGATGATACATTTGGTAAGATCCATAGATTTTGTAACATGCCCCATTTGAGTGGATGGAAACTTGATAGAACACAACTAACTAAATCAAACAAATCCAGTATATCCCACCTAAAACTGGATAAGACGTATACAGAAAATAGAACGACAGACCTACGACTTGCGCACAGTATGCAAAACCGCTTAAAAATGGTGGAAAGAGTACATAAGAACATTCAAAAACGAACTTCAAAACAAGAGAAGTAGTGCTAAAATTTGAAAAACAAGTTAAAGGTTGCTTGTTTACCTCTTAATAGTTCCATTAAGAGGCAACATCTGAATCATTAAGAGATGAACCTTGTTAAACAAAAAAAAAAGTTCGCCTCTTAATGGTTTCAAAAGCCTCTGAATGATTTTGTATCTTGGGCCGCCCTTAACCATTAAGTGTCCTGATTTTATTGTAAACAATTACCAAACAATTATATTTCATTTTGCATTATATCATGAAAGTCTCTTAATCATTCTGACCACTTAATCATTATACACCAAATCATTCAGCAACTGTCAAACAACTCCTAAGAAGAAATCAAACAGACTAACAAACAAAAGAGAAATGGAAGTGCAGTGCAGGTACACAAAAACATAACCAAGATAGGACGTGGAGGTAAGAGTTGTGAAGATCCAAACCATGATTAGCAACTAAAAAAGAGTATTAGATTCCTTCTTGGTGTGAAGTAGGTCCATATTATGTGTATATACAAAACCTGCCTAATTTCCATACCATGAATGAAGTTAGATTATTGCCATTTTTGAGATCTCCGAAACCGACAACGCAACGCTACGCTTGCACATATGACCACAAATAGTTTAAATAAATGTTAAGAGAAACGAGATTTCAGAATGTTTGTTTCAAGCCTTGATTGCGCGGCCTTTGTATTGACCCCTCTGAATCACAAAATCATCAGGAGGTTGAAATTCTTCTAACCATGCAACTTCCGAGAATGCTACTCCATCTACCTCGATCGTACCTTCACAACATAACAAACTAGTGTCAACCAAAACTACTCATAAGACCATCTACCTCGATCGGTGTGCTAAGAAAATTCTCACAAGGAGATGACAGAAAACAGTATGCAACAAAAATATTAAGTTGGCTTACAAGGTAGATTTCCTCCAAGTGACCTCCGGAAATAAGTGCAGTGTCGACCGTCTTCAGAGGAGTAAGGCGGTGACAGAATATCAAATAGAGCACATGGAGTTATGGCTCGGAAACAATGGATGTTGCCTCCACTAGTTGGATAAAGAGTTGTTGTTCTCGAGGGAGCAGTCATCACTCCATCTTTCACAAGCTTTGCAGGTCTCGCTACTGCATCTACCATTAATAAAGAAAAAACAACTAAAATTGATACCAAAATACAAGTAAACACAACTATGTCAACGAAATGGAAGAAAGGATCCTGCAGATGTTCATAAACTTAAAAGAAAGAAAGCCCACATCACAAAATAAGGAAAAAGATGGGAACCCCAATATTTCTCAGATGTGAAGCATTCGTTGATATCATGCTAACAGGGAACCAATGGTTTTTAGTAAACCTAGTCAAAGATAAACCAAACCAAACGAACCAGTATATCCTACTTGAAAGTAGGGCCTGGGAGTGATGGGGGATGTACGTAAACTTGTCCTCTACCCCAAGGTTAGCTGCTGTTTACATGAAAACCCCCGGCTTGTGAAAAAATTGAGTGTACACCTAATCGAAGACAAGTACTACAAATTCGTCTGCTTATCATTTACATTATTTACATCCATTCTTCATTTTGTGAGTCTGGTCTCAAATCTATTCAGATCAAGTAAATGGGTCCCACAATATAATCACATCTCCCTTTTTCGTATGAGACAAAAATGTAATTTTGAATGTTAAATGGCCTAACTGAATATCTTATGTAACCTAATACACCTTCATCATAGCACTTCTCGGAAGCTAAGTTAAACTCATTTTAGACTGTGTACATTTGTGCAAAACAGACTTGTAATACTAGGATTCACCAGAATACCCGTAGCCAATAGGTAACACACAATACCCAACAAACATGTTGAAATAGCATTTCCAACGATGTTTCAAAATACAAAATACACACATATTCATGTTTACAAAAGAAAAAAAAAATACTACTGTAAATGAAATCTATTGGAAAGTCATTATTAGACTTGTATCATAAAAGGAAAACAGCACGAGTCACTTTACTCGAGTAAACGAGAAAGCTATGGTGTCCTTGCTTTAACATAAGATCAACCGAACTACTAATACTAACAGAATAACGTTGTGTCCTAAGTCACCCTTACTAATTAACTTTCTCCGTCCTTGAATAATTTATCCTCTATAGTTGGAACAATTAACTACTGTATATATATATGTATGTATGTAGGTATGTATGTATGCATGTAGTAACACATTAATTGGTTGAGCATGCCCCAGGAAGAACACTGTCATATGCTAGAATCACAGAAGGGAATACCTTCAGATTTATTAGACGGCAAGGGTACATCAAGCCAATCATAAGATTTGACTTGCATTGATCCGTAAAGAAGCTTGCTTAACACGGTCATTCCAGGATGATTGTGAAGAGGAATGATAGAGGATGATGGCATGCAGAATATCCCCATCTGAAAAAGAAAATGAAGAATACTAGTTCCCGCAATTCAAAACTAGATTTGTATCATAATGGAACGACAAGGAGTCCATATTTTAACTTTTCAACTTTTAACTTACAGAGAAGCTATCACACTCATGAATATGAATATATTTAATTGGCGGTAAAGACCGGTGGCTCCCATTGCGATCATTCACAGGCCTAGTCCAGCTACGTACTAATTGTGCTTCCTGCTCGAGGCCAACATCAGAAGGCTTGATTTTATCTGAAAAAGAAAAGATCAATGCATAAAGAGACAGAGGATTACACATATCAAGAAACATGCCCATATATGAGAACAGAGAAATGTAACACTTTGTGAAGAGATTGTTGTTTATTATCTAAACTAAAAGAGAAATAAGAGCATGGCAAAAAGATAAAGCCCCAAAGTTTTAGATATTGCAGCACTTGGATGTAGTTGGGATTTGCACCCTCAAAAACTACAGAAAGTGATGAAAAACTTATAACCACTCGAGACAAAAATAAATAGAAACCTCTATTACTTGACATAACAATGTACCAACAACCTATAGCTACACACGATGTCCTCAACTCCTCATAATCTTTCGAGCAATCAAAGCTCTTTAGTTTGAAACTGACATCCATTATACCAGTAAAGACAAACTGTTCATTAACATAAACTGGTGGATAATAGGAAACCACCAAATACATATGAAACAAACAGCAGTCTTGAAACCACAAGGGTGGTGCCCCGATTGGTTTGAGCTTGGGCTCCAAAGGTCAAAAGTGTCTGGAGGTCCCAGGTTTGAATCGAAGGAGGAATAAAAATCCCCTTGTGGCCACGGAGGTTCAAATGCGGTGACTCTGGGCTACCCGCGAAGCGGGTGGTCGCCCTGGGATTAGTCGACATGCATAGCGGGCTGGATATCCAGGTTAATAAAAAAACAAACAGCAGTCTTGTTTTCACATGCAACAAATGAAGATAATTCCAAAATGATTCAACTCTTTTACCTCATCATAGACTCACATTGATGTACAGGTCCATCAATCTTTATATATTATCATGCAAATCCAAACAGAATCTGAATAAAATTAACATCATAACTTGATACCGATCAAGCAATTAATTGATTCTAGTACAGTAACAATAAGATTGATGCCAATGGACCAAATTTTGATGACAATTATTTAGCATCAAATACTAAATCAAATATTTCAAAACCAGTTGAGTAATTGACCAACACCCTTTCATACATCCCTCCAAAATCCCAAGATAAAATTCCAGGGTACATTCATCTTAGATTTTGCTTCTTGCTTCATCCATTACTTTCGTATGGCAAACATCCTCATCGCATTCTTCATCATGATACTTGCACTAAGAAACTACTTTTTTATATACCAATGAATGCCTCCTCTGGGGATGAAATGATCACAAGTCAAAACCAGACAAAAGTCTAACACACCTCTATAGGTCGAATTGTGAATAGCAACACCAACTTCAAAGCAGTGAAATGATCCACATCTGATAGGTCATAGTAGCAGGGTTCGCTATGATTTAATACTTTAATAGTAGGCACCTGGTTGAGGCTATAAAATCCTACTTCACCCACAAGTAGATAGATCTTAAACTAACATAAATTGGGAAAGCATCCAATACATGATAGAACTCTCAATATTTCATTGTAGTAGTATTACCGAACACATCCTACCATGGCTTCTATCTTATTGCAGGTCTCCTACACCTTATATCCCTTTGCAGCCAAGCAGCCAGCATCTGAGATGCTACTATCTAAATGTCATCTTAATGTGACTACATCCTTGGTTGTTTCTGGAGACAAATGAAGGACGGCCTTTCAAAAACTTCTATCTGTGGTATACAAATGCACCAACAAAAGGCTCAAAATAAGTTAATAAAACAACTACGCCATCTGCAAGATTATCTGAACTTGTGCACATATCTAGAGGAGGGAGGAAAGAGGCAACAACACAGATAACAGAATGGATCAGTTTAGGGAGCTTGCATCCTTGCAAAAATTAAAGCACCAGTCTCCAATATGGTTAGGATGTAAATACTACATCAAGAGACATTCACCCATAATAGTTGAAATTAGAGTTGTTCATGGGCGGGACGACCCATTAGACCCTGCCCATCCGGCTCGCTAAAAATACAGGCTTGGACAACCATTATCGAGAAAATGGACGGGCCCGGGTTTCTTCGTTAAAATTAACAAGCGGACATGGGCAATGTAGAAATAAATATGGACAGGCCCGCCCGGTACGTTTATGTTTTATAATTAATATTTTTTTACCATTAATTAAAATTATACTAGTATATTTTAAAATTAAATTATTGAAGTTATAGGATGGGAGTTGGGACTCTTTGGTTTTTCTTGAGAACCCAAAAGGCTCTACATTATCTTTGTTAGCATCCTTATGTTGAAAGTCCTAATCGATCAATAATTGATAAGAGTCAGTAGTTGCTTAAAGTTTTAATTGCAACAGAGTTTTTCCTTTACTTTTTGGTTCCACATTTGTTGATTAAGAGTTACACTTTTTAGGCCCGTTAGCCCATGGGAAAGCCCGGTCCATTTATAGGGCGGACAATGGCAAGTTGTCAGGCCCCAAAAAAAGGGCTTGGGTTTACAATATTAGGCCCGTTGGACAAAAACAAGTTAGGCGCGGCCCACGTCTGGCCCGGGCCCGGAAATGATCACCTCTAGTTGAAATACATATTGCAAAAATAATATTTTATATACAAAAAAAGTGTGAATAAACCACCAAGTACAAATCAATGGACCAAATTTTGCAATCTCATTTTCACAAACATACAGAGCAAAACTGATTTAGTTGCCTGGTGGTCATTTTTAGGAAGATGATCCTAAGGTTAACAAAAAAAAAATAACCAGGAAGATAAGTGCATGAATGGAAACTCGAAGAGATTAACCTTTGGAATTTAAGTATTAGTATTTAAATTCTGTATTCATTTATAAAGTAGGAAGAACAGGAGATAATTAGGATTCTATTAGGAAAGAATTTCAAATAATCATTATGGTTGTTACTAAGACAATTATTAACTATACCATTAGCATTGTTAGCTAAGATAAGTTCTATAATAAGTACTTATTCTTCTTCTATTAAAAATAGGGGATAATGAAACTATTGTTCTTTTGACAGCCATTTCTACCTTAGCAGATGATTGATGCCTGCATTACCCGTTTTTTCGAATTACAAATTCAGCTTTGTTCTCACCTCAAGTACTCTATAAATGCATGACGGAACATACCTGCCGCAAAAATCTAGGAATTGCTTAACATGGAAAATACAGTACACACACGCACTCACACACACACACACGTGTATGTATCTATACACATTAAGACATGTATATACATATATACACACACATGTATATTATCGAGTATGTATGTAAGTATGTGTATATATATATATATATATATATATAAAACCTTTTGTGCAAGCAACACCAAAATAATAATGCCACAACAATCCTATATCATCTTGGCATGTAATAAAGGTCTATTTCTTATTCATTTGTTTTCATATTTTCACGGTCATTTGTGGGTCCTTTCAATGACGTAGTTGGATAATATATATGGAATCCATATAATGGGTTACATGAAAACACAGCGTTTAACCTCCGGACTAGACCTGTGTATGTGGCCATGAGTAGCCCTGCCCAGTCCAAATATAATTGGCCAATGTAAGAATCAAACAAGACCAACAGGCAAATCTCCAATGTAAAGCCAGTAACGTAGAAAGCAGAGGATTGTTTTGTGAACTTTAGAAGCCATCGTAGTATCAATTTATCATAAGAGTATAAGACAAAACATAACATCCTACCTATGATAGCTACGCACCGGACATAAGTAGTGGTTGCTATTCTTTATTATCTTAATCTTAAGAAAGTGCTGAAGATTTTCCAAAAGAGATGGTCTCATTTAATTGCTTGAAAGACAACAGTGAAGTACAAGATGCAAAAAAAAATGTAGAGAGTCGAACTTCAGTGGCTAATAACACAACAACATGCAATATAGATATGGTTATAATTCATACGGCAATCACTTATTCGAAGATCAAACATTCTTCAACTTCAACATTTGGTTTACATTATATATTATATATTAAACACATTTCAATGCACATCATGTATCTTAAAAATCCTCTATGGATCCTATATGAACGCTTTACACGTACAAGGCATATCTTAAATGTGTATCGACATATTGTGGCCAAATATTCTTCAACGGGTTCTGTGTAAAGCAGCCTCATCTGTTGTGACCTCAATGGCATCGGATCAGAATTCTTTTCAGGTCTAGTTAGGCATTTAATTATAAAAAAAGAATAAATCACCAAAATAACTATATTTGACCCGTCTTATCACTTTTTAGCCTTTGAAAAAAATATATTATATCACCAAATGGCCCCAGATTCCGCAAGTGGGCTCCACAAACGCACTTTTTCTTGCAAATTATACATTCTTTTATATTTTAATGAAAACCATCATGGGAACACTCCGCAAATCACCCATTTGCCAAAATTTTCCCAAACATATTTTTTGGTAAATGCATTAATACCAAAGGAATTAGAGGGTCACCAACTTTAATGCACTTAAATGCATTTTTATTGTAACGGGTAATTAATGCACTTAATTGCAACGGGTAATTATGCATTTTACCAAAAATTATCCGCAAATGTCCCCCCATTTTTCATTACAATATAAAGAAATAGTACAATTCGCAAGAAAAAGTGCGTTTGCATAGCCTACTTGCGAAATCTTGGGCTATTTGGTGATAAAAAAAATATTTCAGAAGCTAATAGGTGATAGAGTGAGGTGAAATGTGGCTATTTTGGTGATTTTCCCTAAAAAAAACATACTAAAAATGAACATTTACACCACCAGAGATGGTTACTTAGCATTAGCTACCTGGCTTCACTTCATACATCATGAATACTTTGGGGGAATAGTATCCTATATTAAGTATATTATGATTGCACTACCCGGTAGAGGTCAAATGATTAAGATTAAATTATAATATCTGACCAACTATCATTTGCTCCTATACATATCTTCATAGCAAAAACATGCCAACCCTTCTGAGATTGATAATGGAAGACTTCAGCAAAATTAAACAAAAGACACTAGCAAACCTCAATGCAAACAAAGATATGGTACAATCGACAGTACGAAAAAAAAACCCCCTTTTAATCCGTCTGCACATCAACTTCATCCAAGTCATTGGACATCAAGATCCAAATTTTTTAGAGAAATCACATTTATGCATAGAATCATCCACGAAGAATTTCTTTTACGCTGTTTCAGATTTTGCAGTACAAGTGGACTATTGTTATAGTAAGAACTTATATTGTTGTGATACTAAAATTTTATACCTAATTATACTTTTGAAATCTCTTTATGGACATTACATAACCCACAGTGACAAATTCCTGTCTTTAGCAGGAATTAAAGAGCCTCTGCGGCAGAAAACACAACCCCACATTAAATTTGCAAGCAAATGGGCAAACCATAAGCACACATAAAAACCAATAAGCAAACAACGGAGAATCATTACCTAAGAGAGCACGAACTTTTTCAAGAGCGTCCTCTGACACAGGCCCATTGGGAGATAGAGATACTTTACAAGCATTATAAAGCTTTTGTATTGCTGGCATGATTTAGCAACACGACCACCAAACCGCTGTGTTTAACCCTGAACGAATTACCAATTCCCCTCAGCAGAAACCTTGCCCTACTGCAGTAGGTTGAAGGTAATCCAGAAGCCAGACAGAAGGGTCCTCTAGTAGAACAGAAGACCCTTCAGTGCTTTTACAAAGCTAGTGTAGTGAACTGGAATCACGATCTGTCAGTAACTAAATCTTACAATGCCACCGAACTTGGAGAGAAGAGTATCTAAATCTCCATCAAATGGTAACATGCCACATGTTTTCTCCCCTGCATATGAAAAACAAATTTGGGGTAAATGTATCAACAATTTGCATGTCACACCAAATATTTATCAAGTGAGGATGCTAAATTACTGAATATTCATCTCAAATATCACACTTAACCCAAGTATGATTGACTGATAATTTGAAAACTCATGCAACAAACCAACATTACAAGATGATTAAGCTAGATACAATTGTTTTGCCTTTCATCCGCCACTTTAAGCTTTTAGACGACTTGGTGGGTTATCATGGTATCAGAGTTCATGCTTAGTAGGCAATGGGGCCAAGTCTTCCTGCTTGTAACTTCTCCCCTGTGATGTCAACAATGCAATATACATTCTATTTAGTTTGTGCCAAGTGATTCACCTATGTAGACTTTTCACATGAAAGCATAGGTGGTGCACATGGGGAAGTTCAGGCTAGATGTAAATGTCCAGCTATAAGCTTAACCTTGTACACGAGTCAGTCATTCAACAAAATATATATTATTGATTTGCAGAGGGAACTCCTGAATCTGGCCAGTAGAATTCATTACATACTAAAGGTACTATTTCAAAACTGATACTAACAGTAAATAAAGGAAACACTGAGTTTTGATAAAGGAGTACTTGCAAAATGTCAGTTACTTGATTTTGGTGTAAACGAATTATCATGTTATTGCACCTTGAATATAACATAAATATAATAAACAGAGCCAAATAATTAAACATTCCTCCAATTAAATTCAGTGATATCTCCAACCCTCATGCATCTCAGCCTTAAATTTGGGCACAAAATGGAAGAAAGAATATATATTGACATAAACAGAGAGCTTTCTAAATTACCCAATGAAAAGTCATATAAGTAAAGAAAATTAATGGATGCTTTACCACGAACGAGAAACCCTTCGAGCGTAATAATCAGTCTCTACGAAATGACGTGAGCAACAAACACGCACTCACTTCGTCGATTTGGAAAGAAAAGATCAATCAATTTTGCACTCTAACTCGAACTTCGTCCACCCAGCAAGCTAAATTACTCAACATTCAACCCAAATTTAAGACCTAACCTATTTTAACAATCAAAATTCAATTTGGGTGTGCAATCAGAGACATCCGAACATGAAAAATCAAAAACCCATCAGTCTAATTCATTTAAATTCAGCAGAAGAGAAACCCTTTTACCAATACCCACCAAAATTAAGATGGCAATAAGAACACAGCTTTGTTGATTAAAGATTCGAGAAATTAGCAATTGATTGATGATAAGCGTGACCAAAAAAACAGCATATGGTCACGAGAAACGCGGTGTGTACCTTGGCAACGCATGGTGAGAAAAGGAGCGATGTTGATGGTGATGATGATCCGAATGAGAAGAGATGAAAAAAGGAAACCGGAAGATCTGTCGTGTATTGTTAATGTGTTTTGGAGGATTCCGGCAGCGATCAGACTGTTGACCACCTGACAGGTTTGCCCTTCTTCTCAGTTAAATTCACGAGGATGCCACTTTTATGAGAGGATGGGGTGAATATCTTTTTATATGGTATTTAATTTAAAGCTTATTATTAGTAATTTTCTTTCCATATATTACAATAAAATAGAATGATATTTATGCAATGTAACGAGATATATCTCAATTTTAATATTTTATTTTATTCTATTTCTATTGATGTACAATATCATTTTATATAATTTTGAGAAAAACGATAGCGTTTTTATTTTTGAGTAAATTTAAATATAAAAATATCATTAAAAAATTAATATATATATACTAGAAGGGTACTCGTGCAATACAGCGATATACATCTTAATTTTAATATTCATTTTATTATTTATCTCAGTCGATATTATAATATAATCTTATGTGATTTTGAAAAAGCGATGAAGTTTTACTTTTGAATAAAATATAAATTTGAAGATATCATAAAAATTTGACAAAAAAATATCGATATTAGTATCAAATTAACTATTTAAAATTCCTATTTTAGTAATTTTTGTGTTAATTTTTAATTAATTTTTTATTATAATTAAATTTAGGTTTAATAATGAAGTAATTTATATTTGGTTTAATAATATAATAATAATTGATTATTTTGTTAGAACTCAATAATTATCCTAATTATATTTTAGATGTTTTATATTTTAAAATGAGATGTTTATCCTCTATTTGATTATGTTTATCCAAAGTTAGTTACACGAATTCAAACATGGAGCTTTAATAAGTTGTACTTATGCATAACTTACTTGTAATATTGAATTTTAAGTAATATGCATCAATATACAGTACTTCATGCATAAAAAATATTTTTTAAGAGTTTTTGTCAAATGCTTTATAATATAATATAATATATATATATATATATATACTATATTATAATGCATTTGGCTAAAACTCTTAAAAAACTCTTAAACTCTTAAAAACTCTTAAACTCTTAAAACTCTTAAACCC